AGCAGATGAGAGCAGCAGATGAGAGCAGCAGATGAGAGCAGCATTGTTTGTGCTGCTGCTCCAGGATGGGCAAGGCCTGGAAGAGCAGGACACCAGGGAGCTGATCAGCACACCCTGCCTGTGCCCACCACCCCGCTCAGGAACACTGAGCTTCCTCTGACTGAAAACAAACAACTGGCCCTGGCATCTGTGCACACCAAGGTGGAACTCCACGTGCTGCAGCTCCTCCTGTGCTCCTGTCCCAGCTCCCCTCAGGGTCACACGGGACAGCTCTGTGTGTTATGGAGTCACCCCCTGCCCTGCCTGATGGACCAAAGCTCTGACCCACACTTCACAACACGGCAATTAAATAAAACAATTTTGCATTATTGCAACAGCTGTTTTCAAACAGGTGTTGTCTTTTTTTCCTATCACCACAGAACTGGATAAATCTGGGTGTTACTTTATGAAATACAAAGATACAGAATGGTCATTGCACTCTGAGGTAATCAATATAGGAAATTATTAAGCTAACTTTGGAATAAGCTACAGATTAGTTTGATAAAATTAGACCTGACAGATTACTGTATGCATCTCAAACTGAATTTCTGTTAAACAGGTGATTTGTATCTATATAATATTTTTCATAAAAAATAATMATTTATATAAATATATATTAAGATTCTTTTTGTTGATTACAATGTAAAAAGGAACGAATAACTGTGTATGGACAATGATAAAGTAGCCTGTTGATAATAAATATTTGTCAGGTCTTGTSACATCTGTACACATTCCAATGTTACTGAAGAGACATGGCACTGATAAAAAAATACCCTCCAAAAAATCAATGGATTTTGAGCTAAAGCAGTTGCTAAACACACAGAAAACATCTTTATCCAACAGCCACAGTGCTGTGAAAATTCCCAAGCCTTGCATTGGTACAGCTAAGGAAAATTTAATCTTCCCAAATACTCATCAGGGCACTCCATCCTGCAGACCTGACAGCCCCACTTATAATTAATTATACAATTTCGATGGGAATATCGACTACACAAAGCTATAAATCATAGAAAAAGTCAATAGGCATGGACACATTCAATCATGTCCCGACCAATGATTACTACTCTTAAAATACAATAATTATTTTCAGGAGCCAGCTTGAATTAAATTTCTGTCAGGCTGGTACAAGACCAGCGGTTGATGAAGGATGCGATGGATTTTTTGGGTTGAATTCGGCACAGAGACATTTATCCTTTTAGATAGGTAGTTTGTTTTTAGTGATCATGGTGCTGCGTGTTTAACTAGACCATGAAGATTAGATTATCTCCAATGGCTCATTATATCGTTTATCTCTTTCTTCCATGTTTGATCTGGAAGATTTCCCGCTTCTTGATGCATGAAAGAAATGACGGCTGATTTTGAAATGGAATGTGTTAAAGTGGATTCTGCCTGTACCTTCACACACCACAGCCCTGTATGCAAATCAAGCAGCAGCCATCCAAAATACCACTAGGACTTGGCAAACAGAAGCACCAAGAAGAGCTTTGCACAGCTTCAGGAATGTACTGGGGGGAAACACAAATGACAAATACTTGAGTTGTTTTAAAAAAAGTTTWAAAAGTTATTATAATAACACACAAAGAAAAAAATCTGGGAAATAAGGAATTGGGAGGAAACTTACTGCTTTGAATTAAATGTCCCCGTAAGTGGAAAACACCAGGGAAAGAAACATTAGGTATTTCCTGAGGATGCATTCACCTTGCAAATTTAGAACAGCCCCAATGATCTGACAGCAGGTGTGTGCTGAAGGCACAGAGGCACCTCTGCTCGGGAGCACACAGCCACGCTGTGCCACAGATGGCAGCAGGACTGAAAGGGGAATCACAGCTTTACTTCTCTCAGGGGTCTCACTYATCAAACTCTTCTGACCTCAACAAATGAGTGAAATCTCACATTCTCACATGGAATTCATCTCCAGGTGAAGCCTACTTAAAACCAGAGAGGGCACCAGGGCTTCAGGTGTCCTCTATGCCCTAGAGCCTTGCAGACAGCCCTSCAACAGACTGGCTCTCTGTGAACAGTGAGAATGAGCTGCAGGCAGGAGAAAGAGGTGGAAATCCATGGATCCTGTGCCCAACCCATCCCCAGGCACTAAGTAAAGTGCTGTGTGAGCAGAAACAGTGTGTGACTGGCACAGAGTGCAGCTGAACTGGGAGCTGGGGACTGGGGCCCACTGCRAATTCCCTTAAATACAGAACTCCTAGAAACCTGACATCAAATGGAGAAACCTGCACGCAGTGATACACAGCTCTTCCAAAATGAAGAGGCTACCATTTGCCATTTGAAATAAAATCACATTAAAGAAAATATAATGCCACTCTCCTCAATAAAATCATAGTCCTTATTRCAAATCAGAGTGTTGGTGTCCCCTTCTGCTTTATCCTCCTGGGAAKCTCTGTATGCTTGTCCAAACAGTGACAGTCTGCTGCAGGGTTTGAGATTGCTATTCTACTTATTCTTGTGTTTCTAGCATTTTTGGTACACTTAGAAGGCTCAGGTATTTTCAGAAGGGCTTTGCATTAAGGGCTTTTCCTAAGTTACTGTGTGATGCACAGTGAGGACCTATGAAGAAACACGGGATACTTGAAGAAATGCAGACCAGAGGACAGACAAGAAAAGTGAATTGTCATGTACATTTAGTTTACACTGTTTTCCTATAAAAAAGAAGGAAAACATGCCAAATTTAAGAATCTGTACACAAAATAACTGGCTAAGCGATGAGAAAATCTGGAGCAGTTATTGTGTTGGCTTAATGATCTCTTCTCATTCTGCACACAGGAGGGCTGATATGAATAAAGGGCTGGTGGGAGAAATGCAATTTGTATCTGAGTGCCCAACTTACTCCTTTGAAAGTATTTAGCAATGAACTCACCGCAGTGCCATTGTTATCTCTAAACACRTCTTGATTGAAATAGTCGAAGAGCTTCTTTTCTAATTGCAGCATAACCTAAATTTAAAAAAAAGGAAGAAAGGTCAGCAAAGCTTTTGGACTCAGCGACTCAACACCCAGCTGCTGGCAGTGACCCTTTCAGACACACAGCCCTTTAAAACCACACATTTCCACAAGTCCAAAGCCTCTTGTCAGCTTGCCCATTTGCTTGGCTTAAACAGATCCAATTAACTGAGCATTAGGTGTGACAATCTATATCCCTCCCCTCCCTTTACACTATCCGTTTGGAATGACTATATTCATGCTTTGTAGAAAAGAAAGTGAACATTCAATGCTGTTCCTATTTACAYAGGGGTACCAAGGGCATTAAGTTGTTTACCTTTCGGTCATTATCAGATTCACGAAATATTAGCTTGACTACTTCATTTGTGTCAGCTGCCCGGATGGTCTGCATTGTGGCCTTTGCACATAGTGTCTAAGAAAAACACAAGGGGAGAAAGGGAAACAACCTTAAATGCAACAGAAGAGCAGATTTAATTGAACATTATCAATAGATGTATCTTCAATGCCCCCCCCGGAAATATGATTTGCCGTAGGTCAAAATACAAAATACTGATAATTTAACTCAATCCACTCATGATGGACTTGAAGCAATAAACTGAATTACCACTTGGAGATAAACAGGCAATATTAAGAAAATATCAGTCAGGAAAGGCAAATAGTTATTCAACTTGTACCAAGCAGACAGGTTCTTTCACTGTAACAGCAGTACTTGCAAACATCCTCCAAGCCACTTGTTACAGATAATGAGCAGGTTTTGTGCTGGTTTTTTACAGCTGATAACTACATTGGCACTACAGTGCTGCAAGTTAACTCTTGTTTGCAAGAACRTCTACCCTGTAAATTCATGTTCCAAGTACACTTTACAAGTCCAAACAAYGCTTACACAGTCTGACAGGAACTTTCACGGTTAACTTCGGATAGCAAATTCCCTCTTTTAAGTAAGAGACAACATCAAATTTCTAGATATTCTGAGGATTGGGTGCTTTAAATGTATTATAAATCAACATTTTATCAGGCACAGAGGTATGAATTTCCAGGCAAGTGTTGGGCCTTGATCCATTGGCAGCTGGCCTGGCTGGGGCCCAGTGTCACAGGCAGTACCATGGACCAGGCTGCTCAAAGGCTGGCTCCTCCACAGGCACCAGGTGAAAATCTGCAGCTTTCAGCAAAGCAGTGAGTGAAGCTCGAAGCACGTGAAGCGTTTGAAATGCAGGGATCTCCATCTTTACTGTCGTGGGCACATTTCAGCMGTGCTGTGCAGTCTCCCTGCTGGACTGGGCTGCAGAATGCAGGGGTACCCACACCCCAGWGCCCGGCTGCTGGAACACACGGCACAGCTCAGAGAGTGGAACTGAGCAAACCTGGGCTTTGTTCAAAGACACAGATGTGCCCCAAACGTGGGAGGCAACTCMGCACCCACTGCTGCTGCCAGGATCTGTGCACAGCCCTGCATATGSATAGTGGCAAAGACTGTCCTTCTGAATAAAACTTTAATTTGCTAGAGGTTCTTAAGAAAAGAGTTTTAAAGAAAATTCCTAAGTCAAGCAGCGGCAAATAGGTGACTTCCCTGCTCTGCCTACCCCATTCCTTTTCATAATGACCAGACAAAAGATTTTCATTTTGCATAATATTAATTTGTAAAATAAATATGCTCTGTGGTAGCAGGATATAGATTTTCACATCCTACTATGCATTTCTTCCTCTCACAGATAGAAATACTTATATTTGGATTCATTATCACAGGTGCACTGGTACCAGACACAATACCGTGAGGTACAGCTCACTTCTCCTTTCTCCATTCTCACTTTCTCCTGAAGGCAGAAATACATGCCAAACATGTATTTAAACAAAAATCCATTTATTTCCAATACAGCTGAGGATACCAGTGCCAGAATGGGAACAATCTGCCAATGGACATTTTGCTCCCATTTGATAAAAATTTGATCCTTGATAAAGGCCCCTGCCTATTGGCACAGTACAAATGAACAGCAGCGATTGAATGATTTCTTTTTTAACAAGTAACTTGAATGTGATTTAGTAAAAAAACACCAATCTGATATTTTTCTTCCAAGTTTGTGAAAGGAACAGGTGCTGATTCCCCGTCTCACTGAACAAACGGTGTCCATTTCTGACAAACTTTTCCTGTTTCCTTCCTCCCCAAAGCAGCGCCATGTCCATCTGACTCTGGGTTTAGCACTGCAAGCACTCAGGGCACAGAAAGCTGCAGGTGTCA